GTGAATATTTTTGTGCAAAACTTGGGCGCTGTGGTGGTAGTAAGTAATTCCATATGAGTTTGTTTATTAGATGTATCACACAGTGAAACAATATTAGCATTTACTGGATGACGTTTCGAACAAAATTGTGTGTGTGTGTGTGTGGACTTCTTAGTCAATCGAACAACCACAGAAAATCAACTCACACACATCACCTATTCAATTACAACAGCACCAATCGAATAACACTCAAAATGGATTGTATACATACACTATTCAAGAGAGCCAGCCAGTCAGGACTCACTGCAGTACTCCCACGTTAAGGAAAATTGAAGAAAGATATCTCATGAATGTCTTTCAAAACAATGAATTTCAGCGGAATTTCATCAAAAGACATCTGCAAACAAGTCAATCTATCAAAACAAAAGGCCATCAAGGAAAGCACAAAGTAAATCGCCCTACCATACATATAAAAGACATCTCAGAAATCAATCACTGCAACACTCTTCAAACCTTTAGAAATTGACGTCTCGCAAAAATCAACAAAATCACTTCACTCAGCAGTCTCTATGCCAACCAAAAACTCAACAACGAAAGAAGATAAAACCAACACCAACTACACAATAAATTGTAACAACTGCAAAAAACACTACATTGGCCAAAGTAGACTCTAATCCCCTTCGTCTGCGTATCCATGAACATAAGCTAGCCGTCAAAAGACATTACATCCACTCCACTCCCTCACTTATATCGCCTCACTGAATATAGACAACGACGGACATCAATTCTACTGGGACAACCGACCAAAGTTCAAGTATTAGACAGAGGAAACAACACCGAGAATGCTAGAGAACTTCCAGAACTCTGGTATTCCAGTGAATCATCGTCAATTAATAGACACATCAAGATAGACAAAATCTGCCAACCTGATAAGAAAGAAACCTAACACACAAAGGGTCAAAGTTCAAGTCAAAGAAACAATCAGTTCCAATAGAAGTAGCCTAGAATGTGTGAAAACACACAAAGACAACCAATCACATTCAAGGTGGTCACCGACCAGGAGAGGTGACTGATAAACTCGTGGAGAAATCGAAAAGCTCACTTTAATTCAAATTGAAATGTATGCGCTGAAGGGAGATGTCGCTTGCCTAGTAGGGCAATGAAAGCTTCAGAAATAACCAGCCAGCCAGCCAGCTCAAAGAACACAACCACATCAAAACAGAATTCAAAACTATCATCCTGTTCCATCATATTGTATGGTTGTGTGTAACTGCGTGTAAAACCTAGCAAAATCTAGATTGGTTGATCAAAATAAGATAACAAATCTAGCTCAGCTGGCTAAAGCACTCACTACATCCAATCACACACAATCATACAATAGACTGGATGGGATAGGATGACAGTTTTAAAATCCAACTGATACAACAGGGTGTATGGAGGGAGAGATTGATAACAACGGAAGCTTTGTTTATCGAATCAACTGAAACATGGGAATACGTGTGATGTGAATGATTCAACACCTGTCCAGCCAGATATCTGGAAAATTCTACTACCACGCCTACGACGACGACGACAAATAGGAGAGTACAAAGAAAACTATAAAACTCAAGTTTCGAAGTCGTGTGATTATAATTGAAGATATGATTATGAACAACAAATTTTGTTCGAAACTTTGTCATCCACTAAGTAAATACTAATACTGTTTCACTGTGTGACTGTGTGATACATTTAATAAACAAACTAATATGGAATTGCTCAGTGAACTCGGCTCTGTACAATGGTTTTTGAACTATTCATCGCGTAACCGGCAGAAAATTGAATTCATGTGCTGTTCGATCAAGTCTCATTGGCCGAATGGTTCGTCCACAGGCTCGCCTTATGACCAAGAGGTCTTATGTTCACGCCTCAATGGGTGCGTAAAGCTGAAGAGTTCCAAAGGAAGACAAAAGCTGTAACTGAGTAGATTAAAAAAACAAATCTTGCTACTCTCAATCACATGTTTGATGAGCCGTCGGTTCTGCATGGCCATTATTATTATTTATTTTTCCTTCGCGTTCTCAGTGAAACATAGGGCTTCAAGCCAGTGGCTTGAAGTTTCTGTAGCAGTGTTTATTTTACAAGATGGGGTTGCTAGCCTCATGCCCAACCTTACCTCTTAACCAGCATTATTTCTGACTTAGAGAGGTAAAGGAGTGCGTCCTGTGGCCGGGGATCGAACCCGGACCATGTACATGGTCGGCGAGCGTGCTAACAACCACTATGCCACATTATAATAATAAACTAAAAGCATCACACAGTAATATGAAACAAAATGACATGATTGTTATTGTGGTCATGAAAAAGCGTGTGAGCGTATGTGTAATGCTACTGAAAGCATCGGTCTACTCTCAAGTCCTGAATATCCGGTAATTTGGTGTATGCATACGAAGTTATTTATTTATTTATGTATTTTATTTATTTTTTATTACAGCTTGATTCCACACCGTATTTTTGGTACAAGTATGGAATTTTCAGCGTGGATATCGGTAGCCCAAATTTCGCAGGCCGACCATAGATATCAGGTGTGCGTCGGCGTGGGCTCGAACCCCGGACCATATGCATGGTCGGCGAGAGTCCTAACCACTTTTCCACCGACGCACAAATTATTTTGTATGATATTGGGGAAATCTGTGTATCGAATTGAATTTTTGATTTTACCGTCGATTGATTGGACCGAAGTGCTCGGTCTCAGGTTGACATGTCGGCTTCTTGTGCAGATGCTTCGACGATGTCTGGGGATTTGATTTGGGCCACGAGAGCCACCTCTTGTGCAATGAGACCGAGCACTTCGGTCCAATCAATCGACGGGAAAATCAAAAATTCAATTCAATAATTAATATGACCCGTTGCACAAGAGGTGGCCAATTCTCGTGGCCCAAGTGGTCTAGTGGATAACGCTTTGGCGTTTGAAACTATGGGCACTGGGCTTGAGCCTCGGTGGGAACATCATTACTCACTGAGAAATGCAGGTACATCCAGTGGCTGACGAGTCCCAAATAGGACGAAATGCGCTTTATCCTGGATTCCACTGCTAGCCACCATCCACCAATTGTAAATCTGTGTATCACTGTGAAGCAAGCATGCAGGAGTGCCAGGTGCACAGAGTTGACAATATGCTTGAGGTTATTGGTGTTTGTCTTCCTTCTCTGGTTATAGCCAGTCTGGATAGTATTTTGAAATACGTTCACAGCATCGATGCTGCGTATAATCGTTATTATTCTTGTTGTTTATTAATAACATTACATTTATCATATTTTTCAATGGGAAGAGAGATAAGAAGTATCTGTATATAAATAACATGATGCATCCAATTGTAGTCAGGACACTATTTCTCGTTACATAGTGCTCCTGAGTTGTTGATTCGTCTAACTTGACTAGAATATGCCCTCTCAGTTGATTACTTGAATTTATCTCACACACTGAGGTAGACACAAATATCAGACTGAGAAAAACGACTACCGTAACGATAACAATAAGCAGAAACTTTATTAGACAAAAAATACACAGTAGAAATATCATATCTGCTAAAACCTCAGAAAAATTAGGCCATTGCATAAGTGTAATTCGGTAATTTTTTATGTCACTCCGCTAACAGAAAGCAATCTGGTGTATATATATATATGTTTAGAAAGTCTTCATGGACAGGACAGTGTGCATGCATTTCAAGAGTTTTGTTCTAATCCAGTATAGAAAGAACTAAGTGAGAACACTGTTCAATAGAGCACGAAAAATTTGTTCTGACAGTACTATTGAACATGAAATAAAATCTTTGAAGGATATTTTATCTTAGAATGGATATCCTGAGAAATTCATTAATAAATAGTCTAAAGAAACTGCCCCCTACAAAACAATTCAAACAGTTCCAAAGAAACCTGTCTATATCAATTTACCGTTCAAAAGAGATGACGTACAGGAAGTAGTGAAACGAAGACTCGACAAAGCCATCAAGAGAACTTATTATGTATGCTACAAAACTTCTTTTCCTTAACACCACCATCAAGTGAGTGCTTCAATAATCTGGGAAAGACCAGTCAGTCGCCAATCCTCGACACTTCAAACTGCGTATATCAATTTGATGAGTGTGTTTGTGGAAGCAAATACGCATAGATCGTACAGAAAGGCGATTGTCTACTCATCGCATGTTGGATCATTTGCCGAAATGGTTTAAAACAGCTGAGTGCAAATTACCGAAATAGACCTTAATAACAAAACATCTTGTGGACTATGGATATGATATCGACGCGCTGTCAAGTCATTCACTATTGTCAGCAGACAGACAAAGAAACAAAAAGATGCTTGCAATTGCAAAGGCTTGTGCAATTCGAGTTTATAAATCAGGTCTCTGTGTACAAAAGGAGATGGTCATGAATCTGAATCTACCATGGTGATACGTTTTACTTATTATTCTACCCTTTATTATTATTATCATTATTATTCTTGATTCATTTAAAACTATCCTTTATCAGTAGGATTATCTTAACTCACTTCAACAGTAGTACTATTGTTATTGTTATTATTATTATTATCATTATTACTATTGACATTACTGTGTTTGCAATTCTTGTTATATTCTCTAATGACTAATTGTTTATCTAAGTGATGTGTAATTGAAGTGTAATGCAATTTATCTTAATTTTGATCTCTCTTACACCCTCCTTCTCCCCCTATTCTTTTTGAACATGACCTGGAAAACATTCGCACCTGTCGTCTTTTTGTATGACTAGTTCAATGTAGTTTATTTGCTCGCTTATCGGTCTTATATTTCCCAATGTAATTTAAAAAGTATGTACATATCCGTGTATGTAGAGTACTTACTGAGCAGTTGACGAGTTCTACTGAAATTTGATGAATCCATCATTAAATGATCCTGCTTTGTTAACCACATTTGTTGCTTTTTGAAAATAAAAAGGTTAAAATTCCATACAATACAATAAATTTTATAAACTACTCGTTTGTAACCTTTTGTTTTCTTCAACGCTTACCAAAAATATTGCGGCGCATATAAGTAGAAGTTTCATACGATAATCCAAATCAAGGGGAAAGTCTATACGGAAGCTGTCGAACTCTTGATTCCAACGATGTATAATCCGTCCAATCGATTTATGATAACCATGGGCATAAATCTGTGGGTTGAAGAAAAAGAATTCGATAAACGAACACACTAAATAACACTCTAAAATTATAAACTAACGGAAGCGATCGGCGGCAGAGGAAGCCTTGTCTAGACCTAGGTTTGGTGCTGCTAGTTGACACTCACCGGTCAGCCACCACAAGGCGTATCTGCAACCAACTTGAAGGAACAGCTCATGTCCCTTTTGAGATTTGAACCCGTGTCACCCAGTGCAGCCTACAGTCAGAGACGTTTAGCACATTGAGCTATTTGGGCTCGCGATTCACCTTCTGTAGGACTGACTGTAGTGGATATTTTGATTTGACACTAATAACTAGTGCGATGTGTCAGTCGCGAGTCCGAATAGCTGGCTCATTGGTAACGTCTCTGACTGCATTGGTCACTAGGTGACGTGGGTTCGAATCTCAGGAGGGACATGAGTTCCTTCAAGGTTTCAGATACGCGCCTTGCTGACTGATGACTGCCAACTAGCAGCACGAAACCTAGGTCTAGGCAAGGCTTCCTCTGCCGCCGATTGCCTCCAACCATCTAATATCATCAAATCAATGTGTGCACCATGATGGCGTGCTAGCCACATAGTGGAATGGTGGCCACATTGCAAACCTGACTGATTGACTGATAGAATTCGGACTGCAACAAAGAAAAGATTAGCCAGACACATCCCATTAATCACAAGTGTCAAATCAAAACTAACGGTATTTTAATGAAATGTTGACCTGCATTGATAAGTATACTTACTGCTGAGACAGGGGAAGACATACGATCAAGTGAATACAGTATAAAAAAGGATACTTTTGGATTTGTTGAAAGTATGATAGATTTAAATGTTGACTGTAAATTCATGATATCATTTGTGGACGTATTTTCCTTATTCACCAATGTACGAGTTATGGAAACAGTGAACTTTGTATGCAAAGAACTCATAAGACTAAACATCGATGTTGGAATTCCTACATCTTTTATGATGAAAGAGCTTTTCTTGAAATGCACAATGAATGTTCACCTTTTTTGTTTAATAAGGAACTATATAGACAAATCGACAGTGTGGCAATGAGGTCACCACTAGAACCCATTCTGGCCGACATTTCCCTTGCGAAACTAGAAAATGGGCCTTTAGCGTATATTTTTAATGAACTCTAATTCTATTGTCGTTATATGGATGATGCATTCTTGATTATGGAAAATGAGGAGGAAGCATACAACATCTTGGATAAATTTAACCACGTTCATCCTGAAATAAATTATACTATTGAGGAAACAAACGACTCTAGTATTTCATTTCTAGACATCTTTATCACCAGAAAAGAGGATGGCACAATGTGAAGGGGAAGAGTATATAGAAAACCTACATCAACTGACTGTCGGTATATTCATTTTCTCAGCTTCGTGCCTTTGAAATACAAACACAATCTGATAAAGTGCTTGGTTCACCACAAAGCAAGATCAATCTGCTCGGATGAATGTCTTGATGAGGAAGTTAATACTATTAAACGGTTCATTGCTGAGTGAAAATGGTTATCCAGAAAAGTTTATTGATAAGAATATGAATCTCAAATCAAAGCAGCCTAAGTTACCAAAAGTTCCAAGGCAAAGGAAGGCCTTATTCTTACAAATGCAGTCAGTTCCTTGGGGACAACATCAGCGAGATTCTAGCACAGTGCCTTAGAAATGAGGTGGTAAAGCGGAGAGCATTCCCTGCTGCTCACGAATTACGCTGTGTCTTCTTCAAAACCACTCCTCTCTTGCCTTCGTTCGAGAGTAAAATACAATAACGTTTCGAGCAATCGATTTGAGCTATCTCGCAGACCCCAACCAAGGAGTTGTGACGCACCAACCGGTACTAATCTAGCACAAACATCCTTCATCCCACGACGTCACAATACCATGGACTGACCACTCCTCCGCCTTTTCCATCCTGTCTCAGGGCTGGCTAGCGAACAGACACCTGTTCAGAAGCCTCTGGAATGGCATTCACAGCACATGTACAAGCCAACGGAGCCGGTGTTTCCAGATAACGACACTCAATGAATCGTGATCTCCACTGTGTTCAAACACACGCCGCCGAACCTTAGAATTACTCATGTAATGATGCCATCGAACGCAAGAAGTCCTGTGGAGACAGCAACGATCGAACACGCAGAGTCGCCATACATCCTCAGCTCACTCGGAGAGGCCAGGTTTCACAGGCGTAGAGCAAGACAGCCCGCACCGAAGCATTGTATATCCGACCTTTAACAGCTTGGCTAACGTCGTGATGGCGCCATAGGTAGCTGAAGTTGATGTAAGCCACCCTAGCCTTCGTTATACGGTTGGAAATATCATCCGTCACCCCTCCGCCAGCATTCACACAACTACCCAGATACACAAACTTATCAACAACTTCAAGCGGTTCACTCGCAAGGGTGAGTGCGGGTACAGGCTCCTGCCAATCTTGTAACAATACTTTGCACTTAGATGGCGCAAAGTACATACCATACTTACAAACACTTGTTTTGTGATCAATGCTTTCATAAGAAATAGCACTCAAGATGAACTAAGTCAAACTTAGAGAATAAATCCACCGTTTTGCATCGTTTCATTTCCTTTTCCACTCACCACCACCAACAACAACATTTATACTGGAAGCAATATTCATTGACACATGAAAACTAAGTTAAAATAAGTACCATTATTCATATGGAAATAGGATCTAACTATTTAAACGAATTGATCACGGATTGATAACAGTTAAAGAACCATTGAAAGTCAGCCCTAAAGTACTGAACAAGTGTTTCATCAGCCTAGTTTGAGAACCAGCAATCCATGATCAACTCGTAACAGCATAACTAACCCTTACAAACCGAACTATAGAAAATTAATCTGATGCTCGCTAGTGACCACTAGCTACAAGATGGAGTTTCCTGGAGTCAGTCAGTTCTAGTGAGAAGTCTTGACCAGTGACGTCCGTCAAGATGTCAGGTGTGAGAATGGATGTCCCACCGACGACCACCGATTGGTTGGTGCCAATCGCGCTAAATGTATCACGAATTGGTAGAAGTTAGAATTCATGCACTGGCTGGCCATTGAATCGGGTTGGGTCCCGGTAAGTGGCTGCATGGTATACGAGTCAGCCAGCCAGCTAGCTAGCTTTCCTTGTAACCGGAAGGTCCTGGGTTCGAACCGCCTGTGCAGTGGTGGGTGGGTACTGACGATGATTCCTGAACTAGGCTGATGAAACAGCTGTCTGGCAGTACTCCCTGTGACTGGTTTTCAATGGTTCTCTAACTGATATCAATCCGTGATCAACTCGTAAAAACAAAACTAACCCTTACAAACCAAACTACAGAAAAACTTATTATTGCATAGAAAATTTGATATTACAAATTCTGATTTATCACTACTGCGAAGAGGTTTCTGGAAAAAAGTGGGAATTTAAGGCAATAAATGCTGCTCTATAAAGGTTTTTAATTTTTTTCAAACCATTAAGCATGAGGTTTCAGGATTTCATCATGAGCTGATATTAGTTAGAGAACCATTGGAAAACCTGGGAGTACTGGACAGCTGTTTCGTCGGCGTAGTTTGGGACTCTTCGTCAGTACGCACCCACCGCCATCGTTCGAACCCAGGACCTTCCGGTTACAAGGCGAGCTCGTATACCATTAAGCCACTGGGACCCGATCCTATGGTCCTTGAAATCTAACTTCTGCCAATTCACGACATAGCGCGACCGCTAGCCGATGTCTTCGCTGGCGAGTATTTGTCCTCACACCTGACTGGCTGCATCCTACTGGTCACGACTTCCCACTGGAACCCAGGTAACTACCTACCTGAATAGGGCCAGTCGCCAGTGAGCATCACATTGGTATTCAAGTGTTGGTTTGTAGGGATTTGGTTGGTTTCAGGATTTCATCATGAGCTTTGAACTTTGTTTGGCTGAATATTTTTTCAAATACCAGTGCTAAAAATACTGCAGCTTAATTTATACACTCTCAGCCAGCCAGCCGCTCGCTGAATATTTCTCAACCAGCTGGTCTTGTAACCTGATGGTCCTGGTTTGGGTCCTCAGTGATGGGGTTTTTGGGCACACACACACACACTGACAAAGAGTTCCGAACTAGGACAAAATAAGTGTCCAGTGTTCCTTGGTTTAGTACACCAGAGGTGTGATGGTAGAATAATGCTGGAGTACTTTACAAAGCATGTAAAAAAGAAAAGGTTGCACTTGAGGCAAATAACACCATCTCCTGTAAAACAAATAGTAGTGTATTCACTGAAAGGCTTCAAAGGCCGGAGTCGTCTGTTCCAATGGAAAATAAAATAGCGCAGAAGGAAATCCTGGTAGAAGAACGATTTCATCCAACTAACTGACGGAATATACACATTCGACCATAGGAAGTATTAAAAAGACAGTTGCAACGAGGGAGAAAATTTTCTTTTCGACGCAGCCATCGTCAACTAGACACCTGAACATTCGTGTATTTATGATAAATGGATGGGAAAGTTCCATAATAATTTTCGGTTAAGTGTCAAATTAATACAAATTACAATTAGGAATTAAAATGACATAATAAACAGGGTGGTGGGACGGATAAAGCTCACTCAAATTAGCACCTCATAATTACTGTGAAGATTGACATTGATTGTGTGCAATTAGGGGCTATAAATGTAGAAATAACAACAATAGATAGACAGGATATTTGGATAAAAACAACATCTAGTGGGATCATAACTAATGTGACGACGAATTATTGTTTCTGCAATCAGGGATTAAATATATAGAAATAAGTAGTAGTCATAAACATATAACACCATTATTCATATTAGTATAAAACTTGGTCAGTGTGATGGTAGAGTATAACTACTCCATTATGGATAAGATTCTTTTTTGATAAACTGTCACACACACAGTGTAGTGTAGTGTTTGTTATACAGTAAGTAATATTAACTGATCCGACCACACACGCCATTTCGAGCACAATTTATTATTATCACCACTCATAATCATCACATCAAGTCACTCAATCACTCACTCACTCACACAACTTTCTTGTTTCCTTCATTTATATACATGAGTGGAATTCATGACTAAACATTTGAATACAAATCAGTAATATGGGATAATGTACATTCAGAAATAATAATAATAACATGAGTGATATTCATCAACTACAATCAATTACAATGTTATGATAATGTCCATGAATTGAATTGAAATAGAATACAATTTAAGATTATTTATTATCCTCCTTTGATTTGACTGCTGGTTATCAGAAGAGGATAATAAATAATCTTAAATTGTATTCTATTTCAATTCAATTCATGGACATTATCATAACATTGTAATTGATTGTAGTTGATGAATATCACTCATGTTATTATTATTATTTCTGAATGTACATTATCCCATATTACTGATTTGTATTCAAATGTTTAGTCATGAATTCCACTCATGTATATAAATGAAGGAAACAAGAAAGTTGTGTGAGTGAGTGACTTGATGTGATGATTATGAGTGGTGATAATAATAAATTGTGCTCGAAATGGCGTGTGGTCGCATCAGTTAATATCACTGTATAAGACACACTACACTACACTACACTGTGTGACAGTTTGTCAAAAAAGAATCTTATCCATAGTAATGGAGTAGTTATACTCTACCGCTACACAGTGACCAAGTTTTATACTAATATGAATAATGGTGTTATATGTTTATGACTACTAATTAAATAAAACGAAAAATAAAAATAATTGTGAAACTAGTAATAATCACATAAATAAGAGAGAATATAAGTCATCCACTGTTATACCATATAAAGAGGGGAAATCTCAGACACTCCCTAAGTAGGATTATGAATAAAGCACGAATTAGAGTGGTAGTGGCATTCAAACCTACAAACTCACTCAGGTAGAACTAGCTCTATGGGTTAAGTTAAAGGACTCTGTCGGTTGACCCAATTAGACAAAATAATAATATAATTTACAAAATACCCTGCAATCACTGTGAGTTAGATCAACTATTTGGGTCAAACTATTATGTCAGGGCAGTTAGATTGTCAGAACATAAGACTTTAGCTGAAGTAAGAATGATTGACCCCACCCGAGAAGATAAGTAATTTAGAAAAAAAGCTCAGAACTACATTGCACTGCATGCGTGCATACATGAACGCAAAACCATACAACAGCATGGCGTGGTTATACTCTACCACCTCAGTGCCCAAGTTTTATACTTATAACAATCCGACACCGTAGAAATTATACACCACATTCAAATGAGACTTTGAAGATCAAGCGTGGAAATTTATGTTACATTTGGGATGCAAAGGAATGAATGCTTGTTTTTTTTTTAAAAAAAAAATAATTAATTATCGCTCAAACTCACCTTAAATATAAGATCTAAGCAACAAGTGTACGAAAACCAAGGTCCTTTTAGATCGAGTTGTACATTACCATTCCAGTCTTTTAAAGAGAATGTATGACCAAGTCGTCCATAATTCTGAACAATACTTCCTAAGGATTCACCAACTGGAGCTTCAACTTTCATTTCCTAGACAATAGGTAGGTGTATAGAAGTATTAATAATAATAATAATCTGCTTTATTCGAAAAACAGCACTACTTATAATACAGAATGGAATTCTCAGTATTTGTCACAACACCTTGCATCTGATTTACTCAAAATATAAATAAAATTAAAAATTAAAAGAAAAGTAACCAGGGGAATCAGTCCACATTTGGGATATAAAGTAAAAAATATTCGAAGCACGGATTGAGAATGTTAAATATAATAATAGCAACAACAGCGAGTTTGTTTCAAACAGTATTGTCGATTCAGTTTGGAAATTTTAGCATGTTATTATAGAGGCATTGAGTCTAATGTTCTGTTGATATAGCAGCATGGTGAGGGGAAAGACAAAAAATAACAGTTATAACACAGCTTAAATGATGTTTACACTTTTGAGAAAATAAACAAATAAAAACAAAAATAAATTGAGAGGATTATAAATATAAGAAGTACAATAACAATAAAGTTTGGTACTGTAAGGGAGGAAGAGATGGTTTATTTAGTAGTGCAAAGAACGTTCAGAACAATCAGAATCTAGCTTGGTGTTGTAAGGGTGGAGGAAATGGTTCATTTACTAGTCTAAAAAAGGTTAGTCATTTGGTTCATGCCTAACACTATTTTCATCACATAAAATAAGCGATGCCAAATATGCTATAGTAGAATTTTCATACTTAGGCGTACGTGGATAAAGTCTTCTGAAAAGACTTCTTGTTTTACCTGAGGGGGAGACACAAGGTTGGAGCTGCGGGTTCTGCAGTGGATGCTTACAGTCTGACAAAATTCCTTTAGCGAATTTGTTGCATGAAATCAAGTGCCTGCCTATCAACGACAATGTCAACAATATGGTCCAATGGGATAGCACTCGTCCTACTGACTGACTGACAGTCTTCAGAGTTCTACGAAGGATGACATAGTCTTTCGTTTAAGCAGTACGGGAGAGAATAAGGAGGGGTAAATAGTAAAGAAGAAGAATAGGTAAGATGCACGAGATGACAAACTGTAAGAGGATGCTTTGGTTGGGTTGTGCCTGAGTGCCTTAACTTCTTCATGTAAAAAGTCAGACGAAATGTATTTTTTTAGAAATCGCTAAGACATAGGAAGACCAGGATAATTTTGATTTGACACTAGTAACTAGTGTCTATATCTTCACTATCATCAATTTCGCAGCGGTCACAAGAACTAACAGCTTCACCATTTAACTTTCGTTTACATCGGAAACTGAAATAAACAGTCTGACATTTGGAAAGATTTAGTTTAAGACCATTTGACGAAGACCATTTGCTAACTCCAAGTAGAGATGATTAAGTTATCAATTATATAAGCGTAGAAACGCGACAACAGTCAGATTATATAACCTGCACGCATTCATTACACTATCCATTATCTAACAAACACTGTTGAACGAAATAACCTTAGATCAGTGAAGAGGTGTGTTTTCGGTGAATTCATTTACCCCTTTTTATACATTTATTCCCCTTATGAATTTGAACAAAGCAAGAACTACAATTTTTGTGCAGAATAAAGTGGTACCATTATTGTTTATTTCGTTGCCTTGTCATCAGCTGCTTTCACAGGCCAAAGACATTAGTAAATATATCTACACTATTCCGAACAGTGTTGATCATACCCAATGGATACTGTTGCATGTGTTGGGTGTAGACTCGATGAACTAGGCAGGATCCAGTAATCAATCTCTGTCTTTCTATCTCCACCTACCTATATTACTTTTTGGAATTATAACCCTCTCCCACCATGCTATTGTGTGGTTGTGTGTTAATGAATGCACGCATGCAGTGCAATGTAGTTCTGAGCTTTTTTTCTAAATTACTTATCTTCTGGGGTGAGGTCAGCCATTCTTACCTCAGCTAAAGTCTTATGTTCTGACAATCTAACTGCCCCTGACATAATAGTTTCACCCATGTAGTTCATCTAAGTGACAGTCATTGCAGGGTATTTTGTAAATTATATTATTATTTTGTCTAATTGGGTCAACCGACAGAGTCCTTTAACTTAACCCATAGAGCTTGTTCTACACGAGTGAGTTTGTAGGTTTGAATGCCACTACCACTCTAATTTCAGCTTTATTCAGAGTCCTACGTAGGGAGTGTCTCAGATGTCCACTTCTTATGTGGTATAACAGTAGATGACTTATATTCTCTTTTCTTTGTCATATCATTACTAGTTTCCCAATTATTTTTTACTTTACTTCTGGTTTTTACTGATCATCCTAATGAATTTGATAGGATAGTTGGTTATTTGATACAAACGCTACTTCTTCTATCTGTTTGAGTTCATCATTTAGGTCTTTTCTTGTACTACTTAGTTCAGCTGCTCAGTGTGTCAGACACTTAACTAGGCCTGCATTAACAGTTAACGGATGAGATGAATTAAAGTCTAAATATCTACTAGAATGAGTTGGTTTTCTGTACACACTAGTGTGTAGTTTACCTTCTTCTATTTGTTTTCATTTTACAATCTAACAGCTAATTCTCCTTGTTCATTTTCCGATTGAATTGTGATTTTTTTTCACTCTACTAGTAAGTTTATATGTGTGTATCCAGAAGCTAGAGAGAGGTATGTTCTGTTTTCAACACTGTGTGTGTAAGTATCGTCCACATATTTCTACCAATGTTTTATTTTTGTTTTCATTAGCCTTTATCGACTACTATGTGTCTACCTGAACATTTGTTTGTTTAATCATGCTATTTTTCATCAATATTCGTGTTACCACAGATTGCCTCACTTTCTCATCCTTATTATTGATAAGACCATTATTAGTAGAAGTGTGGTGAGAGCAGCCTGCTAGCCAGTTGGTTGACATTAATTTACGTCAATGTCTAGGTCACTAATATTGGCCGTGAGAAAATAGGAACAAGGCTGATTCAACAACCAGTCACATCAGACTTAAACCTGGGCAAATATGATTCGCAGACAGATGGCTCCAACTTCCGAGAAACTTGAAAACAGCCAATCAGAAGACTGGGTTTGTCTACTTGAATAAGCTCTAATAATGTACATAAAATATATATAAATACGGGCTGATTTCCGTAATAAAATGATCTGTTGCCTGGCCCTTGTCTTCTGTTGTTACAGTAGTACTAATAGTAGTAATCAGTAGTATTCATCAAACAGAAATACTGCTACAGACATTCAACAGAGTTCACTCAAACATTAGAAGGAAGACAGAGACGGAACAAAGCGTAAACAGGCATTCATCACAAAACAACCTGGAATAGTCAACATCTAAATTTCAACAGCTTCTGTCCTGTTATGGCAGTGGTGTGATACAGACAATATCTGCCAACGGAATATTATGCTCACATATTCCTACACTTCAATACTGTATACAATATATCCTATTTGAATATTCTATTTGATGTTTAGAGACATAATATACTTCCCACGGTTATATACTGCGCTAACAAAAGAATACTATGTATATTTGACCAAGTTAAATTTTAAACACCACTAGCTAACTACCGATCAGCGAATGACCTCAAATCTTCCAATGAGGTTCATGCACGCGAGTGCAAGGTTGTATAGCGCTTGATTCATATCAAACGAAGTTATGCTTGCAGTTAGATGAGGATAAGGTTTTGCAGTATTGTCTGGATTTGGGGTTGCTTAGGAAGGAGAAATATCACCTCATGGAAAATGGAGAGAATTACTTCATTGTTAGGCGGTGAAGTTGTCGTCGTACACGTGAAAGGAACTGTCTTATTCAAGAAAAAATACAACGGTGGTCGTGAACGAACCAACAATGTTTGGCTGATCGTTTTTAGTATGACACCTTCCTGCAGAAAGGATTAGTGGAAAGAATACCCAGACAGAAAGTCTACTACTATCTTATTACCTATTGTCACTGGACTTGTGAAACAGGGATCCACTGTACATACCGATGAATGGAAAGGTTATAACTAGCTGTCATCTCTTGGATATGTTCATTACAGAGTGAATCATTCTAGGGATTTTGTGGATCCCATCAAAGGGATACACACGAATTCTATAAAAGGATTTTGAGGAAGATTAAAAAATAGGATTAGGGCTATAGTCATTTCTATTGACACTCCTATATCAAACTGGGAGATGTTTCTGCCACACGTTAGAGAAAGGTACCCTATGTAACAGTTTTATGCAGTTTTTATGCTTTTTAACATAAATATACGTTTTCCTTAATCAAAAGTCCCTCTTTCTTTTGATTGGTGCTGTTGAAGGTCGTTCGCTGATTGGTAGTAGTTAGTGGTGCTTAAAGTTTAACTTTGCCGTATATTTAAACGCCCTATTTCTTATCGTTTAATGTAAACGAGAATCACACGCTCAGTGACTGATTGGTTAACGAATATAAACTGTAGATTCATTTAAACATTGGTTTTGATGAATGAAAAATATACCTTGGCTTCTGTGTCTGGCCTTGTATTGTCACACTGTTAGCCACAAGACAAGTTCGGTTAAAAGACTACACCAGAGATGGACCAGAAAAGCTTTCCTCTGAAGAAATATTAAAAAATGAAGTCAATCTCTATAGTTTGGTTTGTAAGGGATAGTTTTGTTTTTACAAGTTGATCACGGATTGATATCAGTTAGAGAACCGTTGGAAATCAGCCACAGGGAGTACTGGACAGCCAGCTGTTTCATCAGCGTCAGTACCCACCCACCACTGCACAGGTGGTTCGAAATTAGGACCTTCTGGTTACAAGGCAGGCTTGTGGGTGCGTACTGCCGATGATTCTCAAACTAGGCTGATGAAACAGCTGGCTGTCCAGTACTCCCTGTGGCTGGTTTCCAACGGTTCTCTAACTGATATCAATCCGTGATCAACTCGTAGAAGTCAATTTTACCAAAGGATGTTTGACGAATAGTCGATATGCCAAATGATTCATAGAGAAGTACTGTAAGCATCATGATATGAGGCAGGTAGCATACAGTATTATCGAGAAGAAACTAGTGCTTATTAGACTAGGATTTAAAACTGACGAAATTGGAGAAAGAATTGCCAAGAGAATAAACAAATGCAACATCGAGAACATATCCGACCGCTAAAGTTGTCATTCTGTATACAGTAACCTGTTGGATGATGTACAGTTCAAACTGGACTAGTCCAGAATAATTTTGCGGTTATTGTTAACCCCAACTGTGTTTATGAATTCACATGTACATGCATAAATGCGGTATCAAATAGGTAGGAAGAACAGTAAGATGGCTGTATATAAGGACTGTTGAACATGTTCTCATGAGTCTGTGTCTCAAAGATTAGGCGTCATTTTGACAGTAATTCATAATAATACATGCGTAATACTTAAGCACTGTGGTAGTAAGTAACTTCACATTAGTTTGTTTATTATATGTATCACACAATCAGTGAGTGAAACAGTATTAGTATTACTTAGTGGATGACAAAGTTTCGAACACAATTCATTATTGCTGTTCATAATCATTTCATCAATTATAATCACACGATTTCAAAACTTGACAGGAAGTGACACGTATAAGAGAAGCCTTGAAACTTAATAATTACCCGGATAAATTAGTCATAAAGCATGTAGTGAAATGTAGAAATAAAATAAATAATGATAGTAGTCATAGTGATAATAGTAATAATATTAATGACGATATACAAGTCAAATGTGAGGAAGACAACATCAACAATAAGGAATCTAAACCAAGTTATCCTGGAGAGGATTCCACTGCTAGTCACCACCATCCACCAAATACAACCATAACATGCTTATGCTGACAAAATCAAAATCAGAAGAAATGAACACCGTAGAGCCGACTCTGTTCGACCACCGAGAAATAAATCCAGTTAATGAACTAGAGAAGCTTAGAAAATCATCAGCCATAGGTCATCTACACGCTAAACTATAGAACCAGGTAACAAAATTGATTTTGACAATGTTGAAATCGTTATTCAGAAAAAGTATTTCAGAAATCACAAAGAACGTCTAATATCATCAGAAGCACTTCATATCGAGTGGAATCCAAATTGTCTGAACTGAATAGGAATGATGGACTAAAACAGAATCTGATCTGGTTACAACACCCCAACCCCTCCGCCATGACGTGACAAAATCAACACGAATGTGATAAGCAATATCATTATATATCAAAATACGCTGCTTTTATAATTTTACACACTTATCAAATGCAACAATCTACACCTGGTTCTGTTATCTTTAACAATTTGCCAATTCGACAACGAAAAATGACCCCAGACTGACGAACGATGATCGAGTTAGTAAACTTTGTTTTGATACCATAGCGGATGTACCATTATGTGGTGATTGACTATTTCTATCTCTGTATTGTTCAAATACTTACTGTTGATTGTTAATATAATTCTTATATGAATTGAATAATAATTCCGCTACATACAAATTCCTGAATTCCGCCCTCTCTGTGTTTTCGTTGGATTCTTGTAATTCGGTCATCTCAAAATACTAATACTACGATTACAAATAATTACAACAGAAATACATAGTATTATAGCTACAAATACTTCCACAAACTCCTTCTGCAGACACTTAAGATTTCTCCCTCATGTTTTTTTTATTTTTTACAATAAACTTATAAAAACATGTCTTCTTTAATGCCGTATAACTTCAGGAAGAATAATTATGTTCACTCGTAAGTCTGGCAAGGGTTTCAATAACCAAAACAAAAATCAAGGCTTAAACATGTTTATTTCAGTAGTGTCCTTTCCACATAGATACAAAGGTAGTGTCAATTACAGCAGAGAATATTAAAACTCAATTATCATGAGGATGTAGCGAGGATATATGCGGTCATACACTTTACATATAGACAGTTACATGCACTCACTCCTGAGCTCTTTCTTAGGTTGTACAAAATATACGTCGGACCACACCTTGAAGTGCATAATATTATTGCACCCCCACTGCTTAGAAGAGAAGCCACCCTCTTGGAAAGAGTACAAAGACGGGCGTTTGTTCTTCGAAATAAACCATACGATGAAAGGCTAAAGAAACTAGGCCTGTTCACACTTAGCTACCGTCAGCTTAGGCGAGGATATGATTACAACACATTACCTTTGTTATTTGCTTTAGCGATCTTCAATGTTATTTTGACTTTCAATGTGTCATCCTTTTAACTTGACCTAAGTCGAGTCAAGTCGATTTTCTCACCCTCATCTTAACTCTTTATTACATATATAAGCTGAGTGGAGTTTATAAATTCTTCTGGTTTAATAATACTGCTTTGATAAGGCTATTAGCATTCAATAGTGAAACGTCAGTAAGAGCAACAATACAAATAATACCTTTATTATAATGAATTGTGACATGTTTATTGACAAAATTTTTTTATAAACTTACATAAGGACAACAGAAACAAATCACAGATGGACATTTCATTGGTCTTTGAAGATGCATAACAAGTTTCCCATTGACATTGCGTACTTCCATATCAAAAGCTCTATGGGAACCACACCAAAAGCGTTGGACAAAGCTGGATTTCTCTACAAATCTCAACAGTAATTCAGCAGTATCTAACACAGCTTCATAGACAACTGCATCATATCTTTTTGCATCTAAATTTAAATTTTAAAAAAAAGTAAATAAAACAGAGAAATAAACGAAACTTTAAGGTTAACAATGCACGTGTAGAGGTAAATATAACTCCCCGAAATTGTTGACCACAGCAATGAACATCATTGAACATTGGATACTTACCCTCACTGTTTAAGTCGACTTGTTTAGCTGAAGGCTTCCGGTCAAGCATCCATGCCGTTTGGTACTCCGTCGTGTCACATTCGTGCACAATTCCTAGCCAGTTAAGCAATCATCTCGCAATCCGTTTTGGTCCCGAAATATATCTCATAGTTTGGATGGTCAACTCTGGGCCTTTGCTTTGCCTTTGGTTCACGAGGAAGGAATACTACAGAAGATGTTAGTGTAAGATCTTGTGTTAGTATGCTCTGTACAATTCGCGAACGTCAATACCGTCAGCCTCTAAACTGGTGAGCCCAACCGCGAACTTCATCTTTGATAAATACGCAGATAAATCCGGTGAGTTCTTGTATTTCTTCGTCATGAGTGATCCTTGTCCCAAGGTCATTCGTATTCGCTCAACTGCCAGAACCATTCAGCTCGTACCATTTTCGCCAGATAATACTGAAACATGGTTTCAGATAGCTGAGTCCGATTTCTGTAATCATGGGATAACCGATCAACATTCGTAGTCACTCGCAGTTATTCATGCTCTACCACGGGAGTTCAGCAAGTGCATAACTGTGCACATGTCGAGTAAGTAACTCGTACGAGTTGCTCAAAGCATCCCTTCTCAAAAGAAACATTCTCACGAATCGACAGTGTCTGGACGAATTGTTTCGTAACATTCAGTTAGGGTATCAGTCAGCTGTGAGCATGCTAACAAGAATGAGAGAGGTTATTGACCAAAGTCAGTTCGATGAAGGACTTTTCAGAGAACTCTTCTTATCCAAACTCCCACAGTCAGTAGAGACTGTACTTGTGACACTTTAGGGTGTTCTTATGGATGAGTTAGCTGTTTCTGCAGATAAAATTCCAGAAATAACTAAATGACCAGTTATTGAAATATGCTCAGTTGCCGAACAGACTTCGAGTAAGGATACTGCAGTGATAGAGTTATGCGACTCCATTTAGCAGCTGATTAGGTCAAACATGCCTTTTAATTCCTCCTACCGTCGTCTCAACTCCCCTCAACGGTGGAACTAACGTGGTCAACCTAAGTTCAAGCCACGTTCACCAAAAAAACTCCGACTGGTGCTGGTATCGCAACACCTATGACCAGGAAGCGAAATGTCGCCGAAACACGTTTTAAAAGTTAGTTTGTAGGGATTTTTCATTTTTTTTTTATCAAGTTTGATCACGGATTGATTTGAGTGAGAGAACCACTGAAAGAAAAAAAGCAACAAGGAGTAGTAGACATCAGTTTTGCCTCCAACCAGGACTCGAACGCAGTAGGCCTTCCGGATATAGGGTGAGATTGTAGACCAAAAACTAGCCCCTGGGATGGGGCCCAATCCAATGGTTTAATAATTCTCTAATTGAGGTTAACCTGTGCTCAAGCTTAATAACAATCGATTCCAATAAAAAAATACAATAAAAACCTCAAGACGATACTGAGTCAGTGTCATATGAGTCACGTTATAAATTTGGTCATACATTTGATTCTTTACGAAATATTCCGTCTTACCTGAAACAATGGGAGGCATCGTTTCAATTACAGGCGGACAGAACTGACGAGGATATCAAAAAAGAAGCGAGGATCGGGAAAACAAGACAAGTTTTCATTACTCTCAAGTCTGTGTGGAGGTCAACAGCACTCAGCACGAAAAATAAGATCCAGATTTTCAACTCCAATGTAAAGTCAGTCAGTGCTACTCACTGTACGGATCAGAGACTTGGCCAGCGCGTCACATAAATAGCCCCTCAAACAAACTACAAACCTTCGTGATATGTATCCACATGTTGTGGGTTTGTTTTGAAAGTCTATTATATTTTGCTATGTGTATATGGATCGATATTCCATTATCACTGACAATATGCTTCTGTCTGTCCAGTAACTAAATAAACATGCATGACCTTGTCATATGACATTACAACCAATCATGTTAAGACTGTCTTATTGGTTCATGTGTATTAGCCATTTCGATGCATACTTTTGGATTAGACACTTGTTCACTTTCTTGTTCCCACGTTTCGTACTCTCGTACCATTTCACTCACACTCTTGTGTGACATTTATTTTCCTTGTCTGGAAAATAAAAGTATCATCGTAAACCTGGTGGTCTTCTGATTTCCCTCCTTCCGCGTCAGGACTATTAACTACTCGACGAGTACATAACATAATTGGCGACAAAGAAAACTCTAATAACTCACTCAGAAGCAGTACATAACACTTTGTCAACAACAGCTAGTTGTCTTCACTCAATACCAGTCAAGATCAGATGGCCGGCCGGCCAGAAAAGATCAGCAACAGGGTGGGATCTGTGGCAATGAGCGAACCAACACAACAGGAACCGATTGTGCAACAAATAAGCAGGAAGAAATCGAGGTGGATTGGATTGGCCGCACTCTGAGAAAACAAACCATCATGTGACTGGTATCACTAGACAAGCCATTGCTCGATTGGAACCCAAAAGGGAAGCGGCGAGTTGGTCGTCAGTGCGAGAGTGACCTTGAGGAGGAGCAGGTCATGTGAAGAGGAGATTATGAAGGCATGTGGGCAGACTTGGAGCCAGGTGATGAAAACTTTAGCACAGAACCGAACGCAATGGAGACGTTCGACTGAAGCCCTATATTCTTCTAGGAATTAAAGAAAATAATAATAATCCGTTTATGTAGAGTATTCAGCTGACGAGTTCTACCGAAATTTGATGAATTCATCAAATCCTGCCTTACTAACCTTTATTACTTGTTTTAAACTAGATTTTAATTGGTTGGCAGCCAAGAAAACATCTCTATTTTCACGAAATCTCCACATTCTTTAGATCATATGATAAGTAGCGTTTCTTACAGATGTAAAATTCGGTAGCATTTTTATTCGGAACTTCAATAGACCGACAACAGTGATCTGTCTTGTAATAAAAGCCGGAGAATTATCTTCACCTACCAATATGTTCACCTGTAGTAACTGCTTAAAAGAATTGCGTAATATCCTTTATAATAAAAGCTAACAGTGATATAAGTATAAAACTTGTGCACTGTGTTGATAGAGTATAATTCCATTATTGGTAAAATTTATTTTGATAAAGTCTGACTAAGTTATACAGTAATATTTACTGATGACGTTTCGAGCACAATTTATTGCCCATAGTCATGTCAAGGCACTATTCACACAAGTGTCTAACTTCGTTTATATAATTCAATTATTTTCATCTCTTGATTTGATTGGTAGTAGTGATATTTTCCATATTTCTGGTATGAGTGATGAGTCATTCGTATTCCATGTGTTGGTTGTAGACTCAATGAACAAGGATTCAATAATCAGCCGCCCTCTCCACCTACCTATATTACTTCTTAGAATTTTTAACTCTCTCTCTCTCTCGCACCCTGTTGTGTGACTGTGTGCATGCAGTCCCATTGCTGGTTTCCCCCTATTTGTCCCCATCGAAATCACCAGCTCAGTGATTCTTTAACGAATATAAACCGTATAGATATATAAACAGCGGGGTTTGATCAATGAAAAATATACCTTGCCTCTTACGTCTGACCTTCTATTGTTACACACTACTAACAATCAAGTCAAGCGATGGAAAATAATGGAATTAGACAAGCGAAGTTAGAAAGTTGTGTGTGAATAGTACCTTAATATGATTATGAGCAATAAATTGTGCTCGAGACGTGATCATCAGGAGATATCACTGTATAAAACTACTGTAAGACTCTATCAAAATAAATTTCACTCATAATGGGAAGCTTACAGTGCCTTCATGGCTGACTCAGTTTTCAATGTATAACTTTGCTGATAGGAAATAAAAAGATAGTTGCAGCAAGGAAGAAAACCTTTTCTTTCCGACGAAATCTTCAATTAGGTGACCAACAAAGTCGCTGCACTCAATTCTATGTCAACCAAAAGACTCAACAGCGAGAGAAAGAAGATAAAACCAACATCTGCATCTACAAAATAAACTGTAACAACTGCGAAAAACACTAACTAAATTGGCCAAAGTGGACGTCCCCTACTCTTCGTCTTCGTATCCACGAACATAAGCTAGCCGTCGTCAAAAGACATGATATCCACTCCCTCATTTCACTACACACAGACAACCACGGACATCAATTCAACTCGGACAACCAACCTTCAAATATCAGACAAAGAAAATAATAAGAATGCTAGAGAACTGTTAGAAACTTGGCTGACATTCCAGTGAATCATCAATCAATAGACACATCGAGATAGACAAAATTTGTCGACCGTTAAGAAAAAACCCTCACACACAAAGGGTCAAAGTTCAAGTCAGAGAAACAGTCAGTTCCAATACAAGTAACCTAGAAGGTGTGAAAACACACATAAACAACCAATCACGTCCAAGGTCACCGACCAGGAGAGATGATTAATAAACTCGTGGAGAAATCTAAAAGCTCACTTCAAATTGAAGTATGCGCTGAAGATGTCACCCAGTAGGGTGATGAAAGCTTCGCAAAACTAACCATCCAGCCAGCTCAGAGAACAAAACCACATCAAAATCATCCACCTGAGCTACAAATCGTCTCTATCATATCTAAATCTTACGAGGGCAGAATAATTTTCATGCCAGCAATTGACCCCTTACTGAGATTTCACATTTGAAATAGTAAACACAATCAATAACTTGCTTTCTTTTACTCTTAACTATATGAAAGAAACCCTACCAGTTTGAACTGCTGAAATCAGCTTCTCACATACAAAAGACAATTGCTTTTTTTAACTCCATTGATAAAACATGAGAAAATATGTCGAATTATCATAAAGAAACATTGTAAATGACACAAAATGTGACATTACTAAACATCATTATCTTAGACTATTATGATCATTAGGCAAAACCCGAGACAAACAAAATAAT